GAGAGTGCTGTTAGTTAGAGGAGACCTGACTGAAAAGTTAAAGCACTAAAACAGAATTAGTTCTGGTTAACTCAAACCAGGACAACGTACTCACATTTAGATGAAAACACTTGACTTCTGTGACACTGGATCTGTAGGGTAGTAGATGCTGTGGAGGGTTCTCTGTAGTTAGCTGTGTTTTCTGAATGCATTGCTGCACAGGAGTCACTTAATTTAACTTTTCTATATGTAGTCATAAAAGCAAGTGACTCCTGTGCAGCAATGCAATTTAACTTTTCTATATGTAGTCATAAAAGCTTAAAAAATGCACTTGATGTTATTTTCTGCAAAAATGTAGGTACGGTTTCTCATTTTTCTAAAATTACGAATGAATGGCTAGTGGTGCGAGGAGGTGGGTTGTTCAAACTGTTTTCTTTCGGTGCTTACTAAAATGGCATTAAAAGACAATGTTCTGCTAGATAATTTTTTTTAATTTAAACAATTGCTGGAACTGTCATAAGAAGGTGATATGGTTGTAAGCAGGGAAAAGAAAGTGATCTGATGGACACTGCTTAAGAGGGAGAAATATGACAGTAGTAAACTAAAGTGACTTTTAACAGCAAGCTGCTATGAAAAATTCATACATCTGAAGTAAGAATCTGTCATATCCACAGCTGCTGAGAAAGAGATCTGGTTTGCTTCATATAAGCTAGGCATTCTTTTTCATTAATCAGGTCAATAACACCTAAAATGACAACGTAGAATTATGGTCAGGGTGTCATGGTGTTTATTAAGTATTTCAGGCCTTATCATTTGTTCGGGTGATAGTAATTTCCTTCTGACATTGCAGGATATGTGGTTATAAAGAAGAACATTTGCGAAGAGCAAACCAGACAAAGATACTAGAAAGGATGTATGAGTGGCCAGTTACTGACTGATATAGGGCATGCATGATGTCTTCGATGTCACTGAGCAGTAGTATATATTACTTAATAGCATACATTCCATGATAGTTGTTCTTCAGGAAGCTACTAACACCTCTGTTTGAATTTAAGTTGTTTGCTTTTAGTATTTTTTTATCTTCTTCTAAAAATTTCTTCTCAGAGCAAACAGTGCTGTGAAGGAAACACTCAGTACCCTTTCTTGTGTCTAGTCAGAACCTGTGACTTCAAGGTGTGATGAGACCAAACAGCAGGTGGTTTTTAGTCAGATTTGTTTTTTTTCTGAAGGGGTCGTTTGTGCTTGCCCTCCCTTCCCTCCTTCCTGGCAGAAAATTTCATTTATTTTCTGGTTTGGTTTTCTGCTGGCTTAGTGAAATGAATCTACCAAGAAAGGATGAGGCAATTCTGGTGCAAAGGAGGGAGTATGACTGCGCAGTCACTTTTAGGTGGTGAAAGAGCAGAGGGTAAACCCCATCCCTGTTAGTGGCAGCAAACTGTTAGACTGGCTGGCCTGTCTCTGTTGATCTGACCTTCAAAATCCTTTTGGATTTCTTCACTAATGTGCAGGTTTCATCGTGTACTAATTATGTGCCTTTACAAATGATTCCAGATTTGAAAGTATTTCCCAGGTAGAGGCACAGTTAGATATTTAATGGCTTCTGCATGCCGGTGTGTTCTATGTGTGACTGGAAAATAAAATAATTTCTGTTGGAAAACCTGGCACAGAAGTTTTTACAGAATTGTCTTTTAAAATCATCAGCGCAGTGTCTGTGCATCAAAAGGAGAATGACATTTCTGAGCAATGTCTAATTAAGTATCCATCTGTGTCTGTAAGCATCACAATTTATTTTTCAGTGCTGTGTTCTCATTTAAGTAAAAAAACTGGTCTTGATCACCCTGAGATTACCTTTTCTGGTATTGTTACCAGAAAAGGTAAAGTGGCAAGAAAGGAAGGGGATTTTTCAATACAGTCTCTTCCTCTCTCTGATCTGTATGTTTCTCAAGTAGAACTTGAGAATCAGTAAATTTTTTTCTTTCTTTCAGACAGGGCTTTCTTTGGCATAGAGATTTTCCCCTGAACTGTCTGTGTTCTTCCCTGCATCAAAGTTTGAGGCATAAGAGATTTTTTTGCCACTGAGATAAATATGAAGTTATTCTTTGTATACATACTTATACTCAAGTTGTTGATGTCTGAATAACCAGTTCGAGTGACCTGGAGAGTACAGACCTCATCACAGCAAGCACTTTTTTCCATGCAGACAGAAACACGTCAACGTTGATCAGACGTACACTTTTGTGAAGTTACTAGTCGCTGTGCTGCCTTCTCACTGGAAATACTATTCACTGATCGCTGTATGAGGGATCAAACCAGTGTGGCTTGAGTAGCTAAAGTAAGATCCTGCTTAATAATAATAAAAAAATCTTCTTAAGTCGTTGTAATTAGACTGTTAGCAAGGTGGCAACATGTAGATGAAAGATAATTCTTTCTGGCTGATAGGCCGGAGAGGTGAAAAGGCAAGTACAGGTGTTGTTACATTCCCTTTGGGAGCTGCGAGGTAGATGATGTTCTGAAGTAGGGCGTTTGTGAAAAAAGAGTCTCTAGTTCTCTTTGGCTGCCCTTTAGCTTTGTGTCGAGCTCTGTTCTTTGTGCTCCCCAGGCTAAAAGGATGAGTAGTGCGGAAGCTGTTCTGCAGTTATTAATATGAACATTTAAATACATTTCTTTTGGCCAGGCTAATATTATTCTGCTGTGTTTGAGCAACCGAATTTTTCTGTGCGTCTGTGTTTCAAAACTCTTAGAAAAGGTATTTTTCTTTTCAAAGTGCATGACCAGAGCAAAGCTGGGAGTTGCACTAGCAGATACAGCACATATCCCACTGTGTATAACTCTGGGCCAGTTATTCTATCATCAAATCTGATTTTTATTTACCTATATAATAGAAGAATTATTTGATAATGTAGATTTGCAGGTGAAATATGTAGAAATAATGAGTTTATTACTGTATTGGGATGCGTTTATGTCTCAGAACACGTGTAGTCATCATTTGGGTTTGTTGCTGCTGTGCTGTGGCCTTGGAAATAAATTGGTTCTTATGTAATATTTATTGCCTACATTAAATTACCAGCTCCAGAAATTCTTCTTTTAAGTTGCTTTCAAGAGAGTTTTACTCAGTGCAAGTGCTGGCAAACATTTCTCTTTGTATATATGTTCCTATATTTTATGGTATGTATTTTATTCCTTTTTTTTTAAGTTTACTGTTTGTTTTTGGTTGTTTTTTTTTTTCCATATTTGGCAGACCTGGAGTTGTCATCTCCATCTTTATTGCATTGTCTGCTGTTAACTAAGCTTTCTTTCCTTAGCTGGCATTTTTCTCCTGTAAATATTTTCATAATTCCCTTGCACCATATGGCATTTCATTCATTAGCCTGAAGGAAGCATGCACTCTATTTTAGTATTCTTTAAAAACAAGTTTCATAGTGGGTTAGGGTGGACAGGACAACACTGAGCTTTTCTCAGCACCTTTTAGAACCAGGGAAGGAGCCTTACTCTGTGCTGCAGGTAGAGGCGGGGGAAGCAGCATACAGTTATGTACCTACAATTACAGGCAGCTTGGGATGGATCAGGATACTGGAGAGGGATTGTCAGGGTACAGAAAAATCTCTCTGAAGCATCCGTGCTTTCTCAGGCTGCTTAAGTACCAATTGCCCTGGTCTGCAGAAGCACATTTTTTAAAAAATGGTAGATTAAATCTTACTACAGCTTTTTCTTGTCTATGCTTTTTTTTGAAGTACCATAAATTTATCCTTTACTACACTTCTAAACGATAAAAGTTTTGTTCCATGCCATTCATCTGTAAGCGAACGTGGTAATTTGTGTTCAATTCCAAGTGGAAGGCAAAATGTGAATAATGAAGATGAAATGATAAGTATTGATCTTTAAAACAAAATTTCCCTGAAGGTGCTTGTGCTTCAGGTACTTTGGGCTGATAACGTGCAAGTTATCAATCAGATAAATAGCTTGGTTTTTGTATTTGTACTGAAGCAATGCAGTTTATTAAATTATAACTTGAAGTAAGATGTAGGATACGGGTGTGGGTGGGTTTACAGCTCATACTATTCGATGCTGGTTTGCTGTTTTCCTGACAGATTTGAGAGAAACTAGGTCAGCCTGTAGGTTCTCATCCAACCAGGACTTGCGTGGGAAACACTCAAGGAGCACTTGAATGGTGTATTAGGTACTCCTGAAAAGTCTTTACACGACTCACCAGCATGGTGGTTCTCTGCTGAGAACAAATCTGCATTACGCATAGCTAATGTTTCTAAAGACCTTCCCTGTAGATGTCGTAGACCCCATGTCCTTGATGATTTAGTATCACTTCATGATGCTTCTTGTAAATATGTCTTTGGTACGTAAGATCCGCCGGCGGAGCGGTTCCACTGGAGAAGGAAGGTGTTTGTAGTCCTGCTCTGTAATGTCCAGCAGCCGCTCGGTTTCTGCTCAAAGTGACTGGATTTCTCTTCTGTCATGTTGGCACTGTAAGTTTGCAAATTACCATAAAAACATGGTAATTTATTAAGGTTGAGGTCCTGTTCAACTGAGAGTAGATTTCTCATAGATATGGAAACAGAGCTATATTTTGGTCTGTCCAGGTAGATGACTACCAAGTCTGGGAATTTTCAGGCTGGCGTTCTTCATAAGGGCTAAAATTCTCCATTAAAATATGTCTGAAGTTCTAGGTAAAGTTTAGCCTATGTTGTTTATAATATATTGATCTAAATTTTATAAAGTGAGAGTTTAGAAATATTTTTATTGTTTTCTGATCTGTTTTAATTATTCTCTTGAGGCACATCACACTTAATGTGATTTCAATACCATCTTTCATGGGCGTGTAAAAGGAAGAATAGTTTGGTGTAACAGGATGACTTCACTAGAAAAAAGTAAATACAGAAAACCAGTACAATGCTGAACCACACAGTCTGTAATTGAAAGCAATGAGTTGCTTGGGTAATGCTGTGAAGAGCAGGATCGAGTGAGTTATTTGGGTAAATTACTCTTACTGTTCTGTTCTTGTGCAGGCTGCTGTATTGCTGAAGTCCCTATCTGCTTCACCCAGACCTCCAGACCACGTGCCCCATGCTGTGAGACCAGGAGGACCTTGGTGTTCTGAAATGAAGATGGAGGCAGTGGGAAAAGCAGAAGAACTTGTTGATTCAGAAGTTCCACCAAAGACTTCTGAAAAGCAAGAGACTGCTCCTGATGAAGATGGACCTATAGAACTCGAGACGCAAACTCAGAAGGACGATGTGCCTGCTGCAGCAGACCCCGCAGTGCTCTCTTCAATGCCTTGCTTACTTATGGAATTGAGGCGAGACTCCTCGGAGTCTCAGCTAGCATCTACAGAAAGCGACAAGCCAACAAGTGGTCGAGTTTACGAGAGTGACTCTTCTAATCATTGCATGCTTTCCCCTTCTTCCAGCGGGCATTTGGCTGACTCAGATACGTTGTCTTCCACAGAAGAGAATGAGCCCTGTCAAGCCGAAGCTGTTGTAGAGGGAGACCCTTCTGCGGTGTCTGGGACTGCAGTTGGGAGGAAGTCCAGGCGATCCAGGTCCGAAAGTGACACTTCAACAATGGCTGCCAAGAAAAACCGACAGTCTAGTGATAAGCAGAATGGTCGAGTTACCAAGGTAAAAGGTCATCGAAGCCAAAAGCACAAAGAAAGAATCCGGCTCTTAAGACAGAAACGGGAGGCAGCTGCTCGCAAGAAGTACAACCTGCTGCAGGACAGCAGTACCAGTGATAGTGACCTGACGTGTGACTCGAGCACGAGTTCTTCAGATGATGATGAAGAGGTTTCAGGGAGCAGCAAGACAATCACTGCAGAGATACCAGGTAGAGGATGTTTTTTAAACTGAACTGTAACGCATCTGACATCGTTTCTCAGCTGTCATGCTAAGTTAAATGAGTGACACTTGAGAAAAAACCAGGAGAACTGCAGCTCTGTGTAAATTTGAAGACTGCAGTATGTTAACAAGACATGGGCAGATTTTAAAATGTGTTCTGAGGTTTCAGTGCACTTTTGCACACCAACAAAGCATAGAAATGGTAAATTGGAGGAAGGACTGTCTTTGAATTCTGGAATTTTCAGATCTTTTCCTTTGTAAGCCTATATGAACTCCTATCAGTGCTGTCAAATCCCATTAGATGGTGATAATCTAATGAATACATTCTTAAGATAAGTGGCCAGCTTTGCTTTAGTATATTAAGACCACAGCTCGACAGCTGTGTTAGAAATAACATGGCATACCTCTTACCTGTGTTACAGTAAGGCCCTGCCCGTTGTTGCACTTCTGCTGTGCTTTCAGCTCGATGACAAACCTACCTAGCCTTACTGTAAACTTTTGCAGATTGCAGCTGGTCACCTATTTTAGGACACAAATATGAATTTGTTTACACAGGTGCCCAAGCTATACCCACACCTAAATTTTCAACGTTTTAGACAAAGCTGTACCTGTGTCAAAAGGAGATATAATTTTATACTTTCAATTTTCTGACACATCCCTCTTAAGACTGGAGGCAGCAGATTATGGGGGCCTTCTTATGATTCTGTTAGCAAAAGAAAGGTGAATTCTTCGGGTTTTGTCTGCTGAGTCTTTGTTATTTTATTAGCTCAAGTGCTGTGGGCAGGGTTTTGTGCTAATTATTCTTGCAGCATATTATACCATAGAACCGTCATCATATGGCAATCAAAAATAAAATCACATAAAAATAAACTTTTTGGCTTGCCAATTTTTACTGGGTTACATGCCTTTTTGCCTCTTGTGCTAGAAAGTTGGTTTTTTTTTGGAGATAAAGTACAGCTTCCATAGGGCAAGAATATTTAAAGGAAAACTGCAATAACTTCAGTTGCTGAACTAATGTTTGCTAGATGAACTATTTAAAATATTTGCAGCAGATTTTACAAATGACTGTGTTTTAGCTGACTTGATTATGGTGAATGTTTCTATTACCACAAGAACTGGCGTTTTTCCCACATTTTATTGCTAGGAAGCAGGTTGCATAGAGGAAGTTAATGTTTATTATTAGAAAGTCTGGGAAAGGCATAGTCCTCCTATAATTATTGTGTAGTAAACTTTTAATAGAGATCTAAAATTATTTTTACCAATTTAGTAGTTAGTCAGACTTGCAGCTTTCATAGTTTAGTGCCTTTTAATTTACTGTATTCACACTTTGCTGGGCAATTAAAGCCTGACTTAAAGCCTGTCGAAGAAGACTGCTTCATTGAGTTTTGGGACAGATTTGTCCCCGCTCCCCAAAAAACCCAAAACACACACACAATAAATCCCCCAGGTTATATTCTTTTTTTAAGTTGTAAAAGTACCTTGTCACTCAGAAAGACATCACGTGGTATTTCCAGATCAGCTTGAATTTCTGACTTCCACTGCAGAGACCTGAAACCACTCTAGGGTACCTTTTCTGTGTCACTAGGCTCTTCTGGATTTGAGCTCTCGGTCTTAACCGTGAGGTGCTTGCAGTGAAGAGGTCCCGTTGCAGTGCACAAAAGAACTTGATGTTTTAGTGATGATTACACAAAGGCCAAATTCTAACTGCGATGCAAGATGTGGGAGTGCAGAAACCATCCTGGGGAACAATGAAATTCTTATTTCATAGCATGTATCATCTGTTTGATACTGAATTAAATTTAAGACATTGAAACTTTGGAGGTGTCCATTTGGAATTAGGCGCAGTGCGTACCTGCCACATTGCGGTTTTCCTTTAAATAGAAACGACTTTGGTTTGTGGGAAACAGTCTCCAAGTACAAGAGAAAAATATTGTCTGTAGTGATAACGACAAGGTTGGCCAAAAATGCATCCTGTGCTACTTGTGGGTCCACGAAACGTTGTGGTCTTAACAGATGCAGTGGAGCTGTGAGGCGCAGTGGTAGGTTCACATGCCATCTGCGATCCCTCTTCTTGGAACTGGCAAAGTGCTAAACTTAAATTACTATTTTTTTTTTTTTTGTACTAGAAAGCCATTTTAGTGCACTTAGCATTACACTGTGAATATCCTCAATTTTTAGGGAATGAACACATAGTTAGAAAATAATACAGGGTATTGAAAAGCTTTACTGGAAATTCAGGCTGTGAGCGTCCTCTGCGCACAGTTGAAAGCTGAGAGGTTTAACTTGAACTTGAGTGTCAGGAAACGACAATGCACCTGTCGGAGGGACATAAGCATGAAAAAGCTTTTGCCTTTGCTTTTGAAAAAAAGTCTAGAGTTTTTTCAGGTAGCCTGTGTCCCCTTATTCTTACTGTATTTGGACACTTCAGCTGTAGTGTTGGTTACTATCTCAACATAGCTTATTATTTGGACCAGTTTTCAAATGTCTGTTTTCTGAAAAATAGCTTTGCCAACAGAGATGCTCTAAAGTTTTTAGTGACAGTTAATGTGCCCTTCATGTATGGAGGTTATACATACTCTGGCTCCTAACCTTCTGTTGACATGTAGCTTTACAGAACAGTTCGCTTGTGTGTGGTGTGAAAATTGAAGTGCCACGTTTGAGAATACAGTAGGCTTTCATGTTGTGTAACTAAACCTTTTCCATTTTAATAGTGAAGTTATTTTTTTTGAACCATCCACATCACTGGCTCTGAAATAAATTTGGCTAAATTAGTGAGGTAAGGAAAATGTTCAGTGAAAATGTACATGATGCCATGAAGTTATGAACTGAGCAGTTGTGCAGTACTCTCTACTGGCAGGCTTGTTTTTCTTTTCAAGAAAGATTGAAGAGTAAAGAGTTGAGCTCTTACTGTGGTGACACTGCAGTGCAAATATTGTGAGCTCAGTAGGAGCTAAGCACAATGTACATTATGTTATTCTGAATGCATTATATGATGTTAATGGTTCAATCTAAACTTCATGGGTGCTACTGAGAATCTTTTCACTGACCTGAGCAGTCATAATCTTGGGCTCTTTAATTCAGGGAATGCTGTGATTTTTGAAGTGCTGCAGATGAGGAACAATTTCTTATCTTTTAATGATTGAGCCTCTCTGTTGGCACTTAGGATTTTACTATTCTTAAACAAACACCGGATAGCATTCGTGGCATTGTAAGGATGATCTTTGACACCTGAAATACTGTCTGCTAGACCTGCTGCTCTTGAGAGTTTTTCCGTTAAACAGTTGCAAATTTGACCATTCAAACTAACTCTGAATGAAACTGGCGTGAGAGCAAGTCTGTGAATTGATACTTATTTCTGTGTAAACACTTTTCTTTAGAAGGAAGGGAGTTTTAAAAATTCAAATATAGTACAAAAATATTGACGTTTCACCACCATTGTGCTTTCTACAGCTTGGGAAAATTTGTATTGAAATAGGGGTAACTCATGTTTTAGGCTTTCACAAAATCTGTTAAAAAGTTTGCGTATTGATGTTGAAAAAGGTGTTGCAGTTTACTTTCTTAAAAAAAGAAAAAAGATTTTTTTAGTATGCAGAAATCCAAAGAGAGGGGGCGCAGTGTGTGTGAGAATCTCTTGGCCAGGTCTTTCCTCTTACGAATTACAGATAGACCTTGAAGCATCTTGCAAGGGATGAGTCTGGTTGAAGTAACTTTGAATGACCATTATATAAGAACAGGGAGAACCAAAATCTGTTAAGAGGGATTTGCAGCAAGATGCTCATTTGGAAGTGTTGGGTAGCCCAATGGCATGGAGGAATCCGCTGTTGCTAATGAGAATGAAGAGGCAGCATATCTTCTTAAATTGTTAAAGATGTCAGACTTGCTAAGTTTAGTAACTTTGGATTTGGTTATCTAGATAGTACTTAATAGATCCATAAAGAGACAGCACTGGGGCGTTTATTAGGTGTTGTTTTGCAGGAGATACTGTCTTGAAAATAAGATACAAGCGTTGGATTCTGAACCCTTTGTGATTGCAGATTTCTTTGCCTTTTAACTTGGTATAACTTCAGGAACTACAGAGCTGGAAGTTTACAGGTAGCAAAAGGACCAATTAGATAAATACTAGCATTTTTAATATAATAAAAATGCGGTTTTAGGCTTCCTTTTCTTTTAACCCTAAAGGCCTCCAGTAAAGAAAAGATTGAATAAGGTTTGTGGTAAGAAATGCAAGGGAAGCATTTGAAACCTTGATTTGCTGCTACTGTAAATTGCGGGTATGACATGAATGATGCCTTCTAAAAATAGTATTGCAGGGTAATATATGTTTCAATACATAGTCTCTTTGGTTTATGAAATAGTTTTGTCAACTTTGACGATGCTAGTTCATTCTTAACTTTAAAAGCCTAGCTAGATTGTCTCACATCACCATCAATAGTTTTTATTTAAATTGCAATTAAAACTTACACAATAGTATTTAAAAGTGTCTGATCGTAAGCCTGTGGTGACTGGAAAGACTGCCATTTAGTCACATTTATCTTAGGATAAAATCCCTGACTAAGGATGAATAGACAGAACCGCATTGGACGTTTAACGCTAGGAGTATATGAACAGAAGAAATACTTTTTTCAGGGAGGAAAAAGACATTGAATATGGAAAAGGAACCACGTTTTAGGAAAAAGATACCATTTTACTTAATTACTTTCAGTTAAAATGCAGTTGGAGGGATGTAAATTAGTTGCTATAAAATAATTTATTTTTGAGTGGAGGACCTGAATGCTGAATTTCCAGCCTGTCTCTTAGATGAACAGATAGGGGAGAAGACTTAAAAAGTAGGGTTTTTACTAAAAAGTTTTTGGCCCCTGATGGGTAGCATTGCTACTGCTTGGAAATAAAAGAATAATCTTGGGCTTTGTTTAGCTGTTACTGAAGGATTTATGTATACCTCATTTAAATAGCTCCTAAAAAGAATGTATTGTTTAAGTAATACTGTAA